TTTGGAGTTTAATGCCTGTGGTTAATCTGTACTGTTACAATGCACCAATCCAAAACAGCCCATAATCTCTGGGCCCCTAGACTATGTCAGAGGGGAGGGACTGAGAGATAAGATGCTGGTGTCGAAATAAGTAAAACTGGTGTGTGGAACAAGCGAACAGTGGAGGATAGAGTGAGATGGAGGCAAGGGAACTAGGGGGCGATGGTAGGCTATCCTAAAGATCTGTGTTTTCAGTGACTTCTGATAGATGAGGATCTCAATGGACCAGGAGAGTGAGCATTCCATCACATACCTCCCAACTCTGGCATCTTGAGAAGTGGGAGAGAATGAAGGGGGGGTGGTGGGGATAAGGGACACCAGGGAAGTCGGTGACGGCAGGACAGGACACGAAAATAAATACTGTACTGCTGAAATCAGGATGATTGGGAGGCCTGCAAACAAGTATATACCAAGGTTAAGTCATCTCACAAGTCATTAACAGTTGTTGTACTCCTACAATACTTGTAATCCAGTCATCAGTTCACCACAATCATACATTTTACATAGATTGCCACATACTGGTACTTGGGGCAATAGTAACGTGTGCTTGTATTGACATCACCTAGTTGTAAGAAATTCCAGATTTACCAGCTCACAATCTTTCACACTGCTGCGGAGGAGAGGTGCTAATTGCACTGGTTTCCAGACCATCCCACTATATCAGAGCAGGGGTTCCACCAACAATGGCTGTCAAAGACACACTGCTGGGGTGGTAGATGTTCAAAATGCACCATTTCTCTGGACTTTACTCTGCTGCAGGAGACTGATGGTACCTACACCAGTTGCCAAAAACAAAATCCTCCTTGGTGGGAGAATTGCTGACTCCACAAGCTCCAAAAGCCATTGTCTGCTTTATGGGAATGATGCCATCTGCACCAGCTTCCAAAGCCATCATCTACTTCTTGGGAGGTGGAGGTCTTTCTTGGCTAATCAGTTTTTCCCCTGGAGGACCTCTTTACATTCCCATTAAGTTCCATTATTTGGCCACAACAAGTTTATCTAGGTCCTACATCTTGAATATCAGTTACTTCTAACTATTGCATTGGTCTGGCCTGAATATCCCAGAAACTGGCATTATTTAGAATTCCATAGTCATGTGTTGTCTGTCCAAGAGACCCTGGGCAAGGAAAAAATATATGGGTTTTGGGAAATACATAGAAATGTAGTGAATTGAGTAATGAATTGCAAAATTGAGTCTAACCTAACCAAGCTGTGATTATAGCTGAAATTAAGTGTTTTTAACCCCTTAAGGACCAAACTTATGGAATAAAAGGGAATCATGACATATCACACATGTCATGTGTCCTTAAGGGGTTAAAGGGACACTATAGTCACCTGAACAACTTTAGCTTAATGAAGCAGTTATGGTGTATAGAACATGCCCCTGCAGCCTCACTGCTCAATCCTCTGCCATTTAGGAGTTAAATCCCTTTGTTTATGAACCCTAGTCACACCTCCCTGCATGTGACTTGCACAGCCTTCCATAAACACTTCCTGTAAAGAGAGCCCTATTTAGGCTTTCTTTATTGCAAGTTCTGTTTAATTAAGATTTTCTTATCCCCTGCTATGTTAATAGCTTGCTAGACCCTGCAAGAGCCTCCTGTATGTGATTACAGTTCAATTTAGAGATTGAGATACAATTATTTAAGGTAAATTACATCTGTTTGAAAGTGAAACCAGTTTTTTTTTCATGCAGGCTCTGTCAATCATAGCCAGGGGAGGTGTGGCTAGGGCTGCATAAACAGAAACAAAGTGATTTAACTCCTAAATGACAGTGAATTGAGCAGTGAAATTGCAGGGGAATGATCTATACACTAAAACTGCTTTATTTAGCTAAAGTAATTTAGGTGACTATAGTGTTCCTTTAAGTATTTTGATTTCAGATTGCCCAGGTTTTTGAGGGCTTCACAGAAGCTTGCTGTGTCGCTACTTCAGTTTCCTTTATAGGTTTAGACTAGCAATGAAGCAGTTATGCCAAATATATATTCATTTTTATAACTTTTTTGTATAGTTTCATAACAGTACAAAAATGATCTTACATGCTGCACACTTTGATTACATGTCGGATAGAAACAGGTAGGAGTTTTATAGAACATTATGCACAATGTCAGCAAAACTGTGTGCAGCACGGTCTCTCTCTCCTACTTCCAGACAATCTCATCCTAGACCCCATCCTTACAAAATCCTCTCTCACCTCTTGTCATTGTCTTTCCTCCTGCTTCTAGCAGCTGGTGATGTCTCTCCCAACCCAGCACCCTTCACCTCCTCCAAAAGCCTATCGCAAACCACCTCATCTACCAATGTACAGAGTGCATGATTTGTCTGCAGCAAACTGAAATATAAGGCTGGGCACAACCTCTTCATTTTCAAAATCTCTCACCCTACTAGTCCATCCAACTCATTTTGTTGCAAATACTTGTCAGTTCGTCCACCTATTGTACAGCACTGCAGAATTTGTTGGCGCCTTATACAGAGCAGGGCCCTCCACTCCCTCTTTTCATGTAGGTCCAGTTGTCTGGTTACAATTACATGTCTGTTAGTCCACCCATTGTACAGCGCTACGGATTCTGATAGCGCTATATAAATAATAATAATACATAATAATAAAGGTTAATTTAAAACATTTTTTGTTTTTTTCCTCTAAACTAGTTTAGAGAGAAAACAAAATATAATTTTCCAGTTAACCTCTAGAGGGAGACAGAACACACTGCACAGCAGTGCGGTCACACAGCATTCTAGAAATCTCCTGTTTGTATCCACCATATAATCGTAGTGTGCAGCATGAAAGATAGTTTATTTTATAAATTATGCAAAATGTATAACTAATATAAATAGTGTAACTGCTTCAATACTATATAAACCCTACTAGTAAACACATTTTGAAGATTGGGGCATGTTCAGAATGTATTCAGCTTAAAATTAACCTCATGTAGCAATTTTTTGTATAATTAAATAATTAAAAATTTGCAGAGCACTTTTTCTGCGAAGGGAAGAGAAGAGTGAGAAGGAAATGAAAAAACTGATGTGTAAAAAAATAAAAATGTATATATATGTGTATACACATGGAATTGTTTTGTCATAGTGCCCCACCAAAACCCCAAATGGAACAATCAAATATTCTCAAAGTAACAAGCAATGTGAGGTGCAATAGTAGCTTATTTGGACTAGGCCAAGGTTAGGTAACCTACATCTCCCCCGACGTTTTGCCAGCATTATAATTTCAAGAGAATTATGGGAGATGTAGTCCATAACACCTGGTGAGGTGAAGGTTACCTGTCCCTAAACTACTTCACATGGGTGTTGCTAGGTTCCAGAAACACCTGGGGTGTAAGCAGTGGTGTATTTTGGATTTGTGCTGCCCTAGGCATGACTAAATTTGCCCCCCCAATTCGTGTCAAGGCCATTTTATTGACTGACAGACACATGCCCTCATTGATACATGCACTGATATACACTCACTGACAGATACACAGTCATTGGTACACACATACAGTCATTGGCACACACTGTTTAACCAACACACACTTTCACTGACAGACACACACTGACACCCCCACTCACTGACAGGCACACTCTCTCAGATACACATAAAATGACATACACACACTGACACACACTCACAGGCACACCCATTCTCACTCACAGACACACGCTGACAGCTACACTCACTCACTCACAGTAAGGTGGACAGCAACAGAATACGAGGCAAACAAGGCATTTGTCTGGGAGCTTGGGGTGGCATTTTCTGGCGCCCCCCTGAAAGTGCCGCCCTAGGCAAATTCCTTGATTGCCTTGTGGTAAAGCCAAACTCAATGACCACTACACTAACATAGAGGTGTCATGATATGTCTCTGCCTTTTTATGTTATGTCCACTCCTCTCTTCCCATGAACAACATGCATACATAGAAACAAGCACCTCCTGCACAACCAGGTATTCAATGTGATCCCACCATAATAGCTAATTAATATCGGGATGTAAAGCAAAGGTCTGTTACCCATAACCCCCTGCTGACATTCACCTGGGAGCAGAGTAACTATACTACTAATCTTTCTTTTTATAACAGGGATTAAAAAGATCAATTAGACGCAGGCTTCCCCAAACTCCGGCCCTCCCATGATTCTATGAATGAAATAGGCTGAGAATCACGGGAGTTGTAGTTCAGCAACATCTGGAGAGCCGGAGTTTGGGGAAGCCTGATAGAGGCACAGGTAGTAGTAGTACCTAAAGGGTTAAATAATATAGGCATATGAATTTGACCTGAGCTGCAGCACCTCTGTAGTACAAGCAGTGTAAATAGGCAAAGTTGGCATTGAAAAAAGGGCTTATGCGAGAAATGTCTGCTTTTTCTGCTTTGTCCATCAAATAAAGATTTTTGGTGGCACATTTTGTGCACACTTTATCTGGATGCGCAGACCTAATTTCTTCCATGTTTGCCTTTCTATAATAGGGCTTTGACAAACTCTTACATGACTTAAAATAAAAACAAACCACCGGTATCCTTCTCCTCCTCCACCAACTGTAGTGAGCTGGGGCATGGCTAATTTGAGTATAAAATAACCTAAGATAGCGTTGATGAAGAATTTTTCCAGACCAGCTATTTTAGACTAAAGTTCACTACAGTTTAGTAAATAAACTGCCTTAGCTTGGTCTTGATAAAGTCAGGGAGACAAATGAAATGCATAGACTATGAAGACTTTTTATTTGTTTGCAATTAATTGAATTGCCTATTTATTATATTATTTGCCCACTTATTATAGATCAGCATTTATCTTGGAGAGCTAGAAGCTGGCAGGACACATTGTAGCCATACTCTGGACATGCCTGGCTATTCACACCTTCTTAGCAATTAGTGAATAAACTCCTACTCTATTTGGAACTGTTTCTTCAGTGTCTGTACACACATTGCTTTTTAGCAATAAAGTTTATTTGGTGAAAAAAAAAAGAGCCCCCTATCAGCCTGGGGCGTGGCCGAGGCCAGTGACGTAGCCGGTGTCGGTTAAGCAGCGCGAGGTGACTCCATTGGCCCCGCCCCCTGGACATGTTGAGCTGAGCAGCCTGCCCTCCCTGTCACTGCGCACACCATGCTGCGGGCTTGCAGGAAGGCCCGGGCGGCGGCCCTGGCTAAGGTAAGCTGACGGCGGGTGTCTGCTAGCGCGATGCATGCTGGGAGCTGCCTTCACCGAGCTGGGAGACCCTGCGGCCGCCATTCCCCCCCACCCCCGGCTCCCCACAGCCTCCTCGGGCTTCGCAGGGGGGACTCCGGATATTATATACTCCGTAGCTTCACCGCCGACTGTCTCCCGTGTTAGCCAATCAGATCGCTTGGCTTTGGCAGTGACATTGGTCATCGTCCAATCATGTGCTGCCGTCCTCTACCAGCTCAGCCAATCACAGCTCCGCCTTGGAACCTTTCACCTTTTGGAGCGCCGAGAGGCGGGACTAGGTGTGAAAGACTCCCTCGGCCTCCAATCAGCTGCAGTGGTTTAGTGATTGACGTTTCTTTCGTCCAATGGTTTGTGTTTGCGGGGAGGTGATGGTGTGAGAGCTCTGAGGGCAGATGCTGGGTGTATAAAGGTGTCCAGTGCTGGGCTCCCAGAGTTCTATACACAGAGATAGTGGATGGCACAGGTCACATGACCCCCTGTGTCCCCCATTAACCCATGCATTGCCCTGTGCAGTGACCAGCCATCAGTGCTGAGCTCTATCACCTCTAACAAGCCATGACCTTGCTGTGTGTGTCACTGCCATCCTCAGGGCCTGCCTGCAGCCTGGCCTGGCACACTGGGACTGCTGGCTGTCCAGCTATACAATAAATATATGGGCTGAGAGTCAATCCTCAGCAATCACAAATTCATTAAAGTACAACTTTAACCCCTTAAGGACCAAACTTCTGTAATAAAAAGGAATCATGCCATGTCACACATGTGTCCTTAAGGGGTTAAACTGATCTCAAAGTAAATCACTTTTTTTTTTTAAATACTTTGCAAATTGTTTTATGAAGTTTTTTTCACTTTAAACATATGACTTTTGAAATATAGTGCAGCACACGCAACATCAATACAGTATCTAATGTTTTCAGATCGTTGTGTCTTTCATACAATCCTGTACGTACTAACGTATAGTAAACCTATTCGTATGAAGTCAAAATAACGTGATCACATGTCACCCAGAGTATACTATGCCTCATTATTGCATACGGTCAAGCCAATAATCAGCAGATCTTTCCTCCACTTCCTAATAGTGCACAGGTATATTTGGGGTCCCCCCCAGCTGTGTTCCTTTTTGTGAATCATATTATTAGTGTAAAATAGCTGCATTAGAAAACTTCCCAGGCAGTTATGATTTCAGTTTAATTATTTTGGCTTACAATTTGAAATTCACTTTGATTTCATGACCGTTCACACATTCACCAAACTCTGAATTGTAACAAATGTAAAAGTCTGAATTTAGGAAACATTTAGGCCAGAATGAGTGTTCTTAAAATTTTGTCCTTCTAAGATATACAAAACTTTGCTCTGTTGGGCAGAATTTTGTTGTTCATAGTTTAATTGACTGAATATAGTGAATAAACGCGCACAGCTTCTTGTAAACGGCAACTCTATCTTCAATTGTTGCACTGCCTCCACACCCAGAGTGCGTAACCAGTTTGTAAATAATGCAAAAATATTTCCTCACTAAATCATCCTGCAGATCCCATACACCTTTTTATCCAGGTAGGTAGTAGAGCAATTAGAATGCCTGTTAGAAGTCTGGCAATGGATGCAAGCATAGACTTGTATGTAAAACTCTACAGAAAGGTAGACGCCAGGTATATTAATTTAACTGAGCCAGGCTTCTCTCTATTTATTAAACCTAGAATTGAGGAGAAAAGGACAATTTCAAACTTAAGCCCAATGTATCTTTAAAAAAATATACAAAAATTAGGTGCTCACTATATACTTAAAAAGGAGACAGCAGTCAATCCTACAAGGATTACCAAAACCTTGTGAAAATACAAGTAGGTGACTGCACCTAATTAAAAAAATAAAAAAAAATGTTACCCATAAGTGAGATCACACATTCAACATATATGTACAAATGTCAACATATGTCAATCACATTTTTGCCTCATTCCACATGGATTCCTTGGAGTCTGTGTTTGCTGTATACAACAGCTTTGAAACACAACTTAGAAAATGATGCAAAGCCAGTGAACCACTCATGGACAGCTGTTTCGTTGTTAATGCAAATCATCAGCATGAGGTTGGTTACTGGCGTATGTGTGTGTATAGATAGATAGAAATAAAGTAATGAGAGCACTCCAAAAACTTCGAAAATATTGTGAAAAAATTTAGCTTTTATTCAGGCGTTCTGTGTGATCTCACTTATGGGTTATAATATATCTAAGCTTAAAATATTACAACTCTGCCCTTTTGGATTAAAATGCCATTTTCTGCTAATGCTTGCTACTCGGGAGCTAACTGCATGCCAAGTTTATGGGTCCTTAGATTAAAATTTAGTGTGTGTGTATATATGTATGTGTGTGTGTGTATATGTGTGTGTGTGTGTGTGTGTATGTGTATGTATGTATGTATATATATATATATATATATATATATATATATATATATATTGTTCATTTAATGTGTATATACAGACATGTATTGTATACATATTGTAGGTGATTTTGTGTACATTTTCTGCTGATCATTTGTAGCAGTATAACCTAAAATGACACCAAGTCTTTTGAGTTACTGCTGAATTTTAGGGACACTATAGGCACCAGAACCACTACAGCTTAATGTAGTGGTTTTGGGACAATCCACCTTCTCTGCAGGTTGAGTGGTGTAAAACTGCCTTTTTCTGACAAAAGGCAGTATTTGTTTACACTGCTGCTTAATGCTACCTCTAATGGCTTTCACTCGAACAGTTATAAGGTGGACTTTTTGGATTTGGTCCTGCAAAGTTTGCAGAATTGATGTTCAGCATCTGCACACTATGGCTTGACCAATATTGCTTTTTTTAGGGCCGATAAATGGCCAATAGCCAATAACGTGTATCGATAGTCTGTACATTTACAGTTTTGAAATAAGAAACCATTTCTACACAGATCTGCTGAACATGTTTCTTATTTTAATGTTTTTCTTTGTATTTTTTTTTATTATTATTGAGAGCTAAATATACATGCCAGTCAGATTTGTAATGCTTTTCAAGAATACGTGTGTGTATGTAGTGGCCCCAGCTTTAAAACCAACCACAGTATTTTCCCCGCTACCTCTTGTATCAAATCCCCACAGTATCATTTAGATTGTAAGCTCACGGGTAATCTAGTTATGCACTTTGTATAAAATAGCTTAAACGGTTAGATCTCAGCTTACAGGCAGGGCCCACTCTACCTTTTTATATTTGTCTGTGTATATTGTACGTCCTCCACTAATTGTACAGCGCTGCGGAATCTGTTGGCGCTTTATGAATACCAGTAATAAATAAAATATTTAAAACAGATCTCGTATTTTTCACTAAGGAATAGAGATTATTCATTCTCGCTCTGTAGTTAGGGATTGTAAGCCAGTAATGTGATCTGCAGTCTGATCGTTAATCTTCTGAGTTTCCCTTGGTCAGAAATGACTTTTATTTGCTAATACCAGGCAGAGTTTGAAGATCTAAAATGGATGAATTGTAAAATGCCAGGGGCTTGCACATGATGCCAGTGTCAGTTAAGACAATTGCACACAATTTACTCTTTCAATCTGTCTTGTTCTTTTTATTCTGTAAGCCTTGTATTTGCTTCCTTTTGTTGCTAGTTTTGAATAAGTGATTTTAACATTAAAAACTGTATGTGGGACTTGTGAGTCACAGGGAATCTTGGTTTTGGTACAGTTGTAGGCTTTTTCATGGAATGTATTACTCACGGCATATTACTTGGCATTTCATAGTAGTTGAGGAAATAAGAAAGACTCAACTGAAGTTCTATCTATCATTGTTTTGGACTAAAAAAGGCATTGCAGAGTCCTGGATTGAGTTGTCATATGACATGCTTTTGGGAGCATCGCCTTGCACATACCCTGATATCTACAGGTTTACATAAATCTAGTATTGCTGATAACATGATGTCCGAATGAACTGGCTCTCAGTGGACATGACAAGGTAACATTCACTCAATGAGAATTGTCTGGAACTCGGTGAATTTCAACTGTAAAGCCAAAGTATCCTAGCTAGAACCATAGCTGACTTATGCAATTTTTCTAGTTCAGCCATTTTGGCCTTAAGTTTGAAATTCACTCAATTCTAACAGTTCTCACTTCGTTAATAACCCTGTTTTATTGATTACCCAAAAAGAAAAGCCTATCCTGCCCAGTAAATGGACTTCTATTTTGCTGAGATTGTCACACATTGTACAGCTATAATGGTAATGTACACATTAAATTAAACTATAACCCCATCCAGAACAGAACTATTTCATAGAACTAAAGACACAATCCCCCATTACCTCAAAGTAGAAATATTGATATACTACAAATTATTATTATTATTATTTTATTTATTTTTAAATGGCTTTGAGTGCCTGCCATGGTACCTACCACTTATGGCCATTTGAAAGAAAATACAATTTTAATTTTTTTAAAAATGTGGCAAGACTGGATAGAGTATAGGGGTAAAGCACCAATACACAGGCCGTAGCTTAAGTTTAAGCTTGCGTTTATTATTTACTTATTCACTGTGAAGTACAGGGGATGTAAGATTAATCACCCTAATAAAGTTTCTCCCACCCCTTCACCTCTCCGTTTTTACTTACTTCTTAAGAGGTAAATTTCATAGTTATGTTGGCATAGGTATGGGAACATGTTCATAACTAACACATGTACCGGTAATAAAAAAAGAGGGGGGAGAGAGAGAGAAAAGATACTCGGAATTTTATGTAGATAGAGCTTTTTATTTTTTCTGAGAATCTGTCCTTCTTATTAAGATCTGGGCTCTGATAGAAAAGAAAACTGATATATCTTACTAGGAATAATGTACAGAGAAGTGAGCTACCATGAGTAGAGCCTATGGTTAATCAAGACAAGAGGGCAAAGTGTATAAAATGATAATGTGACTGTTTAGTGCTCTGTGGATGGATTGGATTTTATTGTATTTACTGTATATTTACGTGGTTGCACAAAAGAGCATAAATAAGCATAACCGGTTAGAAATCAAGTTTACATGCCACATTATGCTGTTATGTTGCCTCCCTTTAAATTTATTTATTTATTTATTTTTTGGGGTGTGTAAACAACAACACTTTATGGTATCCTATGACATCTGACTTTTTTTACATTTCCTGAAATGGCTCAAAGCATCTTCTTTAAGACGATATGAGGTTCATGTAGAATAAAAGGAAAACGTAAAATATAGAATACCGGTATCATGTACAGATTCAAGGATTTCAGATATTGTATTTGCGTACAGTTTCGTATATTGTGCTGTAAATATAGGATCACTTAAGGATTTTAATACAATGTGTAACGTACTGTTTTTGTTGTAAAAAAGAAAAAAAATCAAATATGTATTGGGGGGAAAAAAACTGCTCTGTACAACCTTTCCAAATGTGGACTTTGTAGCGTTGACTTCTTTAACAGAATTTCATGTGCATTTAATTAAACATACTGTTTGTATCACCTACATTTGAGAATCCCTACTTCACAATAAAGATCCAACCAGCCCAAGTCCCTAACAATTACTCAGGGATGCCCGCAGTGAGTGAGAACACTAATTGATCATTAAAGTGACACTGAAGCATTAGGAATACAAACAGAGCTCATCCCTTACCAAGCGGGAATTAAAAAGGTGGTTTTTACTTACCCTTTCTCCGTTACCTCTGTCTTCACCGGCCGCCCATTAATCCTAATGATCTCCGCTAAACAGTGCTTCTCTTATGGAAGCAATGGGAGGCTAGTGCGCATGCACCATAACAGAATTTGATTTAGTTTTAAAAGACCACTGAATTGAGATGTTTCCTGCATCTCTCTATTCCGTAAGGTGAGAGACTGGCTAAACCTTGTAGGAGTTGACGTTAAAAGCTCATGTCATCTGTTTATCTGCATCTAACTGGTTAGTCTGTACAGTTTTGCTGTTAGAATGTGCTTATATATTGAACAGTTAGATATATTTTACAACATTCTCCTTGTTTATTAACAGTACACGGTAGCAATAATCTATAATTCACACAGCTTTACAAGACACACACTTTAAAACATAAAGTGAAATCTGTAATGATAAACTGTTTTTTTTTTTTTTTTTTCTCTCTCTAGGAATGCCTTTGTGCCAAAACATCTCTCAGACCCATACGTCCATCAAGAGCCTACTCCACCAGCGAATCATCTGGGTATATCATTTTATTAATTGTATTTAATATATTCTATTGTCTCTTTATGTAAATGAATTTGTAAATAATGATCAACAAACTAGCATGTGTAGTTAAGGCTTTTTGTTTCTTTGTGTACATTGTCTTACGAGCTACTGTGTAGTTTGTATTTCTGACACTATAGTGTTCTAACTATTTAGGGGGACCGCCTCCTCCCCTCCGATCGAACAGAAAAGGTGTTTTTACACACCATATCTCAGAAGCCATTTCGTCTTGGCATGGCTGGCCCCGCCTCCATGTCTGAGATCCTCAATCTTGATGATCTTAGCCAATCCAATGCTTTCCCATAGGAAAGCATTGAGAGGCTATTGCGCATGCTACGCTAAATGCCGCGCTGCACCAATCAGCATCTCCTCATAGAGATGCATTGAATCACTGCATCTCTATGGGGAACATTCCGTGCCTCCATGCAGAGCGTGAAGGCGTTGAACAGCAGTGCTGAACATTGTGCAACACTGGACTAGGAAGCACCTCTAGTGTCTGTCTGAGTTACTGCCATTAGAGTTGTTCCTAGGCAGTAATTTAAACACTTGTTGTTTTTCTGAAAAGGCAGCGTTTACAGTGCTCAGCCTGCAGTGACCGGTTATGGGCAGCAGATCAACTACATTAAGTGGTAGTGGTTGTGATGACATAAGTGTCCCTTTGCTCATTTGTTTGCTTTGTTCTTCCATTTTATTTGATACAGGGAGTTGTAGTGTATTTTGTGTGTAAACATACTGTCTTCATGTAAAGCTTTGTCCTTTTTGGAAGTCACATGTCTGTGTGCCCTTCATGACTTGCTGGCTTCACTTGGTAAAACCAGATCTGTGCGCAGTATGTCTGTTCCAAGTAAGCTAGTTAGATCTCATCTACATTTCTATTTACTGCACAGAATCTAGAAATGTGCTCTCAACAATATCATTTAACATAATTTGGTTTATTATGGCATTTTTAATAGCACCAACTTTTTCCTCCGGGCTTTACAATGTTATAAAGGGGGGAATTTAACTAACACATGAGACAAACTGTTATACATTTTGACAGGAACAATGGGTTAATGCGGACCCTGTTTGAACGCGTTTACAATCCAGAGGACTGTAAGGTTGGTTTGACAGTCTTTGTGTTGCTATGCATAAATTAACTTTGACGGCTGTTTAGGGGGCACATTCATTTTTTTTTTTTTTTTTTTAATCTACAATGAAAGTGTTGACTCAAGGTCATTATTTAAAGGACATAACTTTTCAGTGGCTAATCAGGACTTTGTGTGTTCATGAATGGAAGGTCATTCAAAATAGCTCCGGATTGATGTTTGTAACCAAAAACCTAGCTGGACGCATCGCGGCAGAGCTCCAGGGGTGAAATACTAATTTAGTTAGTTAAATTAGCCAAACGCGGTCTTAAGCACTCCTCGCACAAGCTGTGCACTCTCGAGAACCCCTGTGACTATGCACCAGCGGGAATATTGCTGGCGGCTCGAGGCTCCATGACTAGAGGGGGGGTGGAGAGAGGTGGCCGTACTGACTATGCATTATATGTCACATATAACTTGAACAGTTGCAATAAACTCTAGAGCCAGCGGAGGTGGCACATTATTTCTGCAGCTTGACCTTTCGTTAAACTAGCATGTTAAAGTTTGAGCAAACCATATACTCTCCATGCCAGGAATTTATGATATGAGTGCATATATTGTGTTCGATCTGTACATAGACATGATTTCCTGGTAATCATCTTGAGACAGTATATCATTTGTTATAAGCTTAGATGTGCATTGCTTAATCTGTTGGAATTGCTTTTCAAAATAAAAATAAAAACCTGTATATTTAGCTCCATAAGCTTCTATACTATACTACTGTCAAGTACACACTTGCTATGACTTATGTATCTCATTTCTGTAATGTATTTTTTTTTTTAATGCCTCTAATAAAAAAAACACATTTACAAAAAAATTTATATTCATTTCAGAGAATCAGCTCTGAAAAAATCAATATTCTGATCACTGTAGTATATTTCAATTTTGCATTTTTCTTTTATATGTCCGCATTATAAAAACATATGCTTGAATTGCATACTACCCCCCGAATTTCCTTCAGCAATGTCTAGTTCTATCAGGAAGTAGCTAATATCTCAGCCAATCTCAGGTCTAGCTTTCAGATAAGTAGGAGACATACTGAACATACAAGTTTATTTCTAAGCGGGTAATGCTGTACATTCCTTAAAATGTACACCCTAAGCACCGAATGTACTACAGCTTTTCATTAGGCCCAAGTTAAATCCATTTGTACACACATTATAGTGCACTATAAATCCTGAACATTTTTAACTATTTGTATATTTTAGCATAGATTGAATATCATCACTTCCTGAATTAAGAGTTCAGAAATGTGTTGCCAAACAAACGTACTGCCAGGTGCTGTCTTTTTAATATACTGTTTTTATTACAGATCATCTGCTGGTAAAATCATTGCTGCCAGCCTCCTTTTTACAGGAGGTGGAATTGGGGGCACAGTTCTTTATGCCAGCTGGGATCCCCGATTTCGAGACAATGTGGAAAAGTCTATACCTTACTCGGAGAAACTTTTTGACTTTGCACTTGGACCTGCACAGAACACCTTGCCTGTTTCAAAGAGACCAGTATGCTATTTAACTACTTTATATAAGAGCACTTCTGAAAAATGTTTAATATAAGAATCTCACCATATATGTAGTTTAAACTCAACTCTTGATATTACAGGAACAATCTATGCAAATGCACCATAAACAATACAGCTCAGTTCAGTGGTTATGGTACATTTAGTGCTCCTTTAAATCCTTTGTGTACTGTAGCAATGTGGGTAGCACTCAATATGCTGTCTACTGTTTTCACCCACAAGCACCTGAGACCTGTCTTGCCATTCTGGCATATAGACTCTTCATTTAAAATGGTCTGCTTGAGGTGTTTTAAAAGTAGCTGATCTCAAAAGAGAACACCCAGCCTAATGGTAACAGGACATAGAAATCAAGTACTAGCAGAGGTTAAATAATTGCCACTCTGCAGTGATCAAACTTCCAAGAGGAGGCACTGTTGGTGAATTATCAAAAATATTCCAGATCAGTCTTCTGAAAAATTACAATTATGATCTGAATTTGGCCTGCCTTATTTCTCTGATCATCATCATTTTTTTTTTTTTTTTTTTTAAATATACCCCCTTCTTGACTGCACCCCCAAATGCCCCTGGACCCACCATTTTCCCATTTCTTAAATCTTTATTTTATGCCCGGACCTAGGTCCTGGGTGCCGCCATCTTTGTGTGGGCAGATGAAGGCCCTGTGGGACTTGTCATCTGCCCATACTAGATTCCGCTATGAAATTCCTGCGCATGCCTAGTTTAACATTTAGGCATTTACTATTGTCCGAAATTCAGACGAGAACTTCGGCTATTCATTCATTTGTCAGAAAGACGAATGAATAGAAATGTCTAACGAACGAAGACTTCTTCATTTGTTCGTTTAGTTTATTACAAGGAGGGAGCTACTGGCTCACGGCTCCCCCCTTGAATATGTGAAGCACTGCTCCCCGCCACTTCCTATCCTGTAACGGAGTGCCTCTATCTTGGCTCCCTGTCAGTCATTCACATAGGCTCTGCTAGTTTCTGTAATTGAACTGGAGGTACTTCTTCTCTTAATAAAATGTGTGCCCTGGTTGAGCTAGAACTGAACTGTATATTGTGATATAAATTCCCAAATTCTTAATTACCAATCTTTACCTACATATAAAGCGTCACATGAAAAAGAGGCTAATGCAAGTTATGAGTTATCACAGTATTCTGTGTTTTCTACAACTCAGTGAATTTTTTATTTATTTATTACCGCTATTTAATTTCCTTAATTTGCTTGAATTCATTTTGCTGCTAGGCCTTTTAATTTTTTTTTCTTCGTAGCTCCATAGTACATCTCGCTGAGCTCAGCCAGTAATGGTTTATGTATGAGAATGTTGAGCAACTACTTCCAGTTTTAGAAACAAGCGCTTTAAGCAATACACGGACATGAAAAATTGTTCAATTTACTTAAACTTACTTTATATCTATATATATATATATATATATATATATATATATATATATATATATATATATATATATATATATATATATAAAATATTTTTGTTTTAATTTATTTTTTTTAATATATAGTTATGTAATAATTAGAACACTTTACATGTTGGTATGTTTTGATGACTCCAGGTATCATCTGGACCGTTAAAGATTTCTTCTGTGACTGAAGCCATGAAAGAATCCAATCAGCGGAAAGAGAAGGCCGCAGCTCCCTCCAGTGACCATGCTGAAGGTAATGATGCAGCAAAGTTTGCAGATCAGGTCATAGAATGGATTTTAATAGTAGATAAATGCTAACTGGTCCATGTAATCTGCTTATTCTTTATCTGAAAACCCAGGCATTAATTTTCTTCTTTCCATCTTAAGACAGCTGTCTGTATATCAAGTACTGTCTCTTTACTGGTATTCATTTATTGCATCTCTGCTGATTTAATTCTAACTTACCTTTAAGAGATTGGTGTCTTTACCCCAAAATTACATTCTTGTAAACATTCAGCCATCACTATTGCACATCTTAAATGTGTAATATATCAAGTTTTTATTTAATTTTTTTTTTTCATTCATTTTAGCTTCATCGCATGTAGCCCAAATACTGTCTGCCACCGGCGAAGCAGTCTCTGTACCAGCAGCAGTGGTGTATGAGGAAGTAGTTAGCAAAGCTCCAGAATCCACAGACCAGAAGGCAGACCACCATGCTGGTATGTGTTAACCACTTTCCCTCCTAAACTGACTAAAGCTTGTTTTGCATTACATTATATGTAAACACCCAGTTACCTGCACCTTGGCTTCAGAACTGGGTTTTCGCAAGGTAGATAAACCAAAAAAAGGGCTCTATCCTGTCTTTATGCACACCTTTACTTTTGTAAATGTCATCTACCTCCCCCCTGCTCCTGTACTCGTCAGCAACGTTTGTAGGTCATACTCCATGACTGCATTCAAGCAGACAGTATGCTGTGAAGCCTTTCTCCTGAGTTCACTACAATTAATCATTGCAAGCTACAATCAATCTTACACCAAGCCCTTATTATGCCCACCTACAGAAATGTATTGTCTGGTTGTAGGTTGATTGCCCTAAAATGCCATCATGTTCCTTAGGAATACCAATCTAGTTATTCATCCCTCTATGTCACGCATATGGCACTAATACTAGGTAGGTGCTAGATACAGTGAGAGCAGGAAATAGGGGAAAGATACATTTCCAAAACCTGTAAAATAAATACTTTTTTGTAGTCCATGTAGCTTGGCAGGCTTTTGTTTGCTTTATCCCGCTCCCACTTAGTATTATCATCAGAGCGAGCACAATACTTTATCCCCCCCCGACCCCCTCCTCCCCATCCAACACTGTCAGCTGGCCATATGAAACATGGTTTCCTTTTCCAGTAACGTACCCCCAGAGCATAGATCCACACCTGTTCTGTTAATATATTGGATACATCTATAAATGGTCTAGGTTCCCTCCATTATATTTTTATGTTTGGTGGTTGGGGGTAGCTGCAATGTTTCTACAAGGATTAATAAGACCCAGAACGTTTGAAACGTTACCACTCTGTTTATTTGGTGAAAGAAAGATCTATTGACATTCATAAAGTGTCAGGTGGGGTGCCTTGCTCCCTTTTTTAAATACATTTTATAAATCGTTATTTAAATTGGAAAATACATCATAGGTAACATTACATGTCTAGTCATACCTGGGGTGATTATCTTGTCTTTTTACTATGGACATATCTGAAAACGTATACTGCAGGGCTTTATTCAGATCACTGCTTTAAATGTCATTTAAAGGGACACTATATTCACGCAGACCACTTCATCTCAGTGGGCTTGCTTGGATGCAGTGGCCCTGTCCATATAGACCTGCATTATAAAGCAGTGCTGTAGCGGATAATTGTTATACTGACCGCCACTAAAGTCTAATTGGTTATACTGATGGCCACTTGAGGCGCTATTGCTGCACTAACAGAGTAAAATGGTCACACAGTGCCTTCTTATGGGGAAACGTTAATACATGTGTGGTGCTTGCTGTGCATGCGCATTATCTCCCAATGCTACGCTATGCGGAGTATTGAATTGGAACATTGTGGAGGAAGCTATGCATCCTCAATGACTAAAATATGTGACTGCCTTTCATTCTCTTGGTGATGGACTTGGCTGTAGCTATTGGATTACAATTAATCTCGGTTTTGTATTTTGTTCAATGTTGAAATCAGTCTTCAAGTTGTATGTTTTATTCCTTCTATAACCTATGCTGACTTCTTTCATTAAGGAGAGCATTGTAAGGAGTGTGAGCATGAGGACCCTCACGCCTTGAAAGAACGGCCGGCAGAGGAAGTGGCCGCTCGGCTGGTGGAGCAAGAAAAAGAAGAAAAGCACAGGATTGAGTGTATGTGATCTGTAATATCTGCTAAAAGATTGTACACATCACCAAATAGAACGCGTTTTCCATTGTGCCATAATTATTTATTACCCAGCAGCTTGGGTTACCTATAGTAGATTAACCTGCCAGTACTTATCGAATGGTCTGCGGACTTCTATAGGCCATTCTCTAGCCGTGTTATTAGATAAGGGAATACAGAGTGCATGAAAGGGAAGCTTCACATTTAAGGCCAACACGGACACATTGAAAAAATGTCCAAGTCAGTTATGTTTTCAGTTAGGATATTGCGGCCTTCACTTTGAATTCCTGACAGTTCACACCTTTGTAAATATGTAGAAACTGCTCTTGCATGTTTGTGCTATGGAGAACTTGCTCGTTACACTTTTTTTTTATTATTATTTTTTTTTTTTTTAATTGCTGCACCCTTATCACTGGCAGTTGTATTTCTAGGCAGATAGACGCCAGTAACCTTGATCCCAAGCTCCAGATAAGATAAAACAAGAGGTTATGGTTATGCTTCTTGGGTTTTTTTTTGTTTGTTTTTTTTTTTTTTATGTGGCATATTTGAGGGAAATATAATTGGGAGATCAATGGGTTGTAAAAAGCTTACCATCTGTGGTGAGGAGTAGTTAGTAGCAGGAACCATCCTCTCTCTGAGAAGGAGACCATATGTTGTGACTTGTACTGAAGGCTTTACAGTTGCTCATCCTGTTGAATTGCAGTGTTAAGGAACAGACTTGTTTCCTCTCTTTGGGTTCATGTTCAAAATGGTGGATAAGCAAATTGAGAGTAAAGTTCACATTGAATATAATTGTAACCATGTAAAGACCTGTGTCTTCCTTCATACTCCAGCTATAGCAGCACTGCTAGAAGAGTCCCTGAGCAGTACTGCCCGGGTGACCTTACAGGCCATCAACACACAGGAGTCTGCAGTTCAGGCTATCAATTTCCATGCTCAGAAACTGAAAGAGGCTATGGACGACTCCCAGGTAAATGCATCAACAATGTATTTCTGATTTACCTCTGTAACACTGTGCCGAACCTTGGTATGTTACGTTTGCTGTTTGTAATAAAACTACATCTGTTTTCTGTGTGTCAGTATATTTTCTTACCTTTTTAGTTGTCTCAAACATCAGCCATATTATGTACCTGGATGCTAAATTTTACAGTTATTAGTCACTGTTATTTAAAAAAACGTTTTTTTTTTTTAAAGTGTTTTTAATGCGATAAACAAAACCTATCTGTTACCATTTTATATAATTTTTATCTGTGTGTGTGTGTTTGGTACACACCAAATCCCTCAGTAGCAAACTAAATAGCCACTGTTAATCTCCATACTGAAATCCTGCACCATTCAGAATTGTTGCACTTAGAGGGACTCTCCAGGTATAAAATATGCATGGCTTTCTGTGCAAAAATAATGTACATATTTGCAAGACCTTTTAATTTCACATCGAAGAATGAGATGCTTTCATAAATTGCATGTGATGATGCTCATACTTATGGTATCTCATGTTCATGCTATCTCTCATTAGGGGGGAAATTAATGCAAACTGCTGTAATATCTCCTGTACTAACTGCAGTAACTGGTGCAGGACTCTGTGTATAACAGCGGATGTACAATTTCCATGCTTGGCAGTAGGATTGGATGTACATTGCATATCTCTCATATGTTTGGTAGTTGACATCAGACTTTGTTATAATTTGATGCTTTTACTCACACATGGATGCTACACATTGAGATTTATGAATTTTTTTCCCATGGCTTGTTTTCTGATCTGTTAGGCCTAACAGGAACCACAAACCTTACCACCTGTCTGTGACCCGCCTTTGTCCTTGTGAAAGTTAGGGGTAGACAGCAAGATTCTTTTGCTTGATTTGGACCTTTGCTCCTAGTTTACTATATATGCTTACAATCTATTGGCAAGAGGCTCAAGTACGACTGACTGTTCTGTCCATATCCATTTGAATGAACATTTAGACTTTGCAGTTCTATACAGCAGTATCTTTCTTCTGACAATCTCAAGCCATTGGATGCATTCAGGAAACTCCCTTCATTCTGTTACTTTATTTAGATCCCGTCAGAAAACAAATCCTTGCAGTGGCGTGAGCTGGAAGATGCATTAAAGGTGCGAAGCAAGGCTGTGGATGAGGCCGCGGACTCCCTTCTAAAAGCAAAGTTAGTTTATGTTTAAATGTTTTTTATAATGAACATGTAGAGTGATTTCTGTCTAGAAAATTGCAGTTGGAAGTGATTGTTAATTTGGCACATTTTTAATACAATATGCTGTTCACCATTAAGCTGTTTCAGAACATATTGCTATAAAGTAGGGCTATTGACAGTGCAGCATTACAACTCCGCAACATCATTTAATGTCAATTTCATTCAGCCTAGATGGTATTGATTGAGTGTTGGGCTTATCCACCTGCAGTATTCTCAGCCTGTCACCCTTGTTCACGCATTCTTTCCAGAGGAGATGGGGGACAGTCCCTCCGTGCCCAGAAGAACCCCAGTTTATACTGCACGGAGTCCCCCAAACTGTTTGATATTAAATTGGGGGATGTCATCAGGAGACACTTGACAACATAAATACAGTAAGCTGTAATGGTTATTGTACTGTGTTTTCTTCATGTGTCAAATGAATACAAATTAGAATTAAGTCCTTTAGAAATTCGAAAGGGCAACAATGTACAGGATTATTTATGAGCAGAATTTGGACATGCAGAAATAGATCATATGTGTTACAGCAGATATCCTGTTAGTCTTTGCCACGATCGACCTATAAGCAAGAGAGCAACACAAGTAAAGCTATACAAATGATACATTTAAAATCCGTGCAGTAAATCCTTCTACCTGAACCTGTCCCATTTTCTAACTTGCTGATCTTTTGTCTGTTAATCTATCATAACTAGCTACTGATCATTATACATGGAAAATGGATTGTTCATCCTAAACAGGGATAAAGTGTTCATGTAGTCCTTGGCCATGTTGAGAGATTACTGCAGAATTATTGCACAGTGACCTCAAACCTGGTGACTTCAAGCAGTTCTTGGTTAATGGTCAGGAGTGGTCCTGAACAGATGCAGATTTGCATTTCATCAGCTGATTGTCAAATAAGTAAACCTGCCTACCATAGCCTGACAGTTGGTGCTTTTCCTGTACCCAAACGTTTGATGGCGCCTTAATTGGTTTGTTTTGATGCTGTAAAACAGGGAGGAGCTGGAGCGGATGAAGCGTGTGATTGATGACTCCAAGAAAAATGCCATCAATGGAAGCAAAGCTCATATCACAGCCGCGGAGGAGAACCTGCATCGCATGATCGTAGATCTAGATAATGTTGTGAAAAAGGTGAATATCCCAGATGCCAAGTTGTGATTTTTAACATTGAGGCCCAACTTGAAAAAAATCAGATGAGCTGTTTTGACCTGAATTAAAATTCTGTTTAAATGGACACTTTAGTAAATAATCTTGTGAAGACAGAATTTCACTACATTTCTAACTTTATGTTGACTTCATTGATGAGTAATTGTATGAAAGTGGACTAGGTCCGTGTATAATGCAGGGTCAGCTGGAACATTATCTTCTTCGACTTGTCATTATACTGTATTGCTCTGCCATCTTGGTCTGTAGGTGCAAGCCGCTCAGTCTGAAGCCAAGGTGGTAGCCCAGTACCATGAACTGGTTGCAGTGGCAAGGGAGGATTTCCAGAAGGAGCTGGACAGTATTACTCCAGAAGTACAGTCAGGCTGGAAAGGATTAAGTAAGTGCTAATTACTGTTTTAGTCTGACAGATACTTTGAGATGTGTGTGTGTATATATAATATATATAATGGCACGGTTTTGCCAAGACTACCCAAATACCAATCTTACAGGGACAGCATAGTCACCAAAACCACTACAGCTTAATGTAATGGTTCTGTCCCTGCAGGCTGAGCATTGTAAATGCTGCCTTTTCAGAGTGAAGACCGTGTTTAGATTGCTGCCTAAGTCCACCTCTAGTCGTTGTCACTCGAACAGCCACTAGAAGAGGAGCTTCCTGGACGAGGTCCAGCAATCTTTGCAGGACCAATGTTCAGTGTCTCGACACTCTGCATGTACTCTCTCCTTAAGTGCAATGCCTTAATACATCATATGTGAGTAAATGCAGCATTAGCACTAGTCTTCTAATGCTTCCCTGTAGACAAACATTCATTTGAGATCATCAAGATTTGTAAGGAATTTTTATTTTTATGCACATGAAAGGGTAGTCAACCTCTAATTTTATTTATTTTTGTTTGTATTCATAAATACAAAAGTGTTCCTTTTTAAAGGGGTTTTACCATGCATAATATAACTGCCTGGTTGAATTATCTTAAATGACAAGCAAACCTATAGATGAAGAATGCTTATGTGTATCATTAAATGATTTCGCCAACCGTTTATCAATAATGATAGAATAATGGCAATAGAGAATTTTTCTATCCGTTCCACACTACAAAACCGCTCAAAAAACCTTTTTAAAATTTCACGCACGAACCGGAGACCACCCTGGAGCTTGTTAAGCCTAACTCAGTGATGGCGAACCTATGGCACGCGTGCCACAGGTGGCACGCCGGGCCCTTTCTGTGGGCACGCGGCCACAGGTTCGCCATCAATGCAGAGTAGGCGCCTGCCTGCCCGAAACGGCAGGCGCCTACTCTGCTTCCGGGTCGGGAGGCAGGGGGAGGGCTCTAGGAAGCAGCTCCCCTGTCCTCCCGCGCGATGCTGTGTGGAGCGTTGCCGCGCGTTACCATGGCAACGCTCCACACAGCATTGCGGGAGGACAGGGGAGCTGCTTCCTGGAGCCCTCCCCCTGCAGTGCTTACCACCACCGGACCACCAGGGATGGCTGTGTGTCTCCCCCCCCCTCCACTTCATTAAAGGTAAGAAGGAGGGAGGGGGGATATACTGACACAGCACCCTTACCCTCCCCAGCAGTACCCCTACCCTCCCCAGCAGTACCCCTACCCCCCACACACAGTTACCCCTACCCTCCCAGCAGTACCCCTACCCCCCAGTTGTACCCCTACCCCCACACACAGTACTCCTACCCCCCAGCAGTACCCCCACCCCCCTACCCCCCCTGTACCCCTAACAATACCCCTACCCTCCCCAGCAGTACCCCTACCCTCCCAGCAGTACCCCTACCTCCACACACGTACCCCTACCCCCACACACGGTACCCCTACCCCCCACACACGGTACCCCTACCTTCCCAGCAGTACCCCTACCTTCCCAGCAGTACCCCTACCTTCCCAGCAGCCCTCCCCACCCCTACCCTCCCAGCAGTACCCCTACCCTCCCCAGCACTACCCCCCACACCCTTACACTATAGCACCCCACACACACAGCACCCCCCACACACAGCACCCCCCCCCACACACACACACACACACAGCACCCCCCCACACACAAAGCACCCCCCACCTCAATGCAGTATGTGTGTATTCAGCAGTCTATGTGTGTGTGTGTGTGTGTGCACTCAGCAGTCTGTGTGTGTGTACTCAGCAGTCTCTGTATTCAGCAGTCTTGTGTGTGTGTGTGTATTCAGCAGACTGTGTGTATGTATTCAGCAGTCTGTGTGTGTATGTATTGCATTTGTTGGAGATACTAATAAATATAAGCTTAATTTTATCTATTTATATCATTATTTAAAATTTGTATCATTGAACTCTGTGTTCTTTTAAAACAAAAGTTATTAGTTCGGACAACAGTACGAGTTGTTTTTTTCTAAACTTAAACCTCAGTATTTGGGTTTAATTGCCGTGTTGGCACTTTAAGGAGAAAAAAAGTTGGCATGTATTGCGGTTTGGGCACTCGGGCTCAAAAAGGTTCGCCATCACTGGCCTAACTGATACTTTGTAGCAATTTCCACCGCAGTATATAGATCATGCAGCTTCAGTCTCTCTGCTCAATTATCTGCCATTTAGGAGTTGTCACTTTGTTTATGCAGCTCTTGTCACACCTCCCTGCATGTGACTTACATAGCCTTCCTAAACACTTCCTGTGAACTAAGATCTGATTTTTAAACTTACTGTATTGCACATTATGTTTAATTTAGGATTTTACATCCCCATCTCTAATATCCTTCTAGATCTTGCAGCTGTTTAAGTCCCTTTAGTATCCCTTTAATATAAACTATCCAAAATATGACTCCTATTATTTCTGGGTTGCACAGGTGATCTAAAGTGCAATTATAATAAAATATATATTTTTTTGCAACAGAAGTAACACAGTGAGTAAACATGCCACGTGACGTGCGCAGACCAACTAATTAATAAGATTTGATTCAATTTTCTGATTGATTTATTATTTTATCTATTTAGTTGTTTCCGTTCTACTGTCAGTAAATATTGTTGGTTTTTATGCAGGTGGAATAAGTTATCTGAATATTTATCGGATAGATATATGTAGAGACATTTTTATAACTTCTCAACAAACCTTTTTGCTTTTTCTGTTATAACTTCTATTCAAGCAGTGTTTCATTTTACACTTGTGTTTGTGGGTATGCAATGTAGTGTTTTCTTTTCTTCTTTGACTGTTTACAAATCTCATTTTGCTCATATGTCATGCCAAATTGGGTATGCGATTTCTTCACTAGAAGGTTGCTATTTTGTTGAAGAAAAAGAATGCAAATCATAACTGTTAGGGAATTGACACACTGCAGTCCGGTCTGGACCAGTGAAGAGAAGTGTAACTTGAGCTGTGACTAATGCAAAAGGACTTTATTGATATTTATAAAGCGTGTACAAATCATCCAGTGATCAGACCACTATTAGTGGGGGGAAATGGCTAAATCCCTAAATATAGTTAAAGGACCACTATAGTGCCAGGAAAACATACTCGTTTTCCTGGCACTATAGTGCCCTGAGGGTGCCCCCACCCTCAGGGTCCCCCTCCCACCGGGCTCTGGGGAGAGGAAGGGGTTAAACACTTGCCTTTCTCCAGCGTCGGGCAGGGAGCTTTCCTCCTCCTCTCCTTCTTCCTAGCGACGTCATCGGCTGAATGCGCATGCGCGGCAGGAGCCGTGCGCGCATTCACCCAGTTCATAGGAAAGCATTCATAATGACAGTTGATTTTCACAGTGAGAAGCACGCAAGCGCCTCTAGCGGCTGTCAGTGAGACAGCCACTAGAGGCTGGATTAACCCTCAGTGTAAACATAGCAGTTTTTTTAATCCTACAATATTAGATTTGTAAACAGAACCAAAACTAAAATGTTTAGTTAAAGGACCACTCTAGGCACCCAGACCACTTCAGCTTAATGAAGTGGTCTGGGTGCCTGGTCCAGCTAGGGTTAACCCATTTTTTTTTTTTTATAAACATAGCAGTTTCAGAGAAACTGCTATGTTTATGAATGGGTTAAGCCTTCCCCCTAATCCTCTAGTGGCTGTCTCATTGACAGCCACTAGAGGCGCTTGCGTGCTTCTCACTGTAATTTTCACAGTGAGAGCACGCCAGCGTCCATAGGAAAGCATTATGAATGCTTTCCTATGCGACCGGCTGAATGCGCGCAGCTCTTGCCGCGCGTGCGCATTCAGCCGACGGGGAGGAGAAGAGGAGGATCGGAGGAGGAGAGCTCTCCGCCCAGCGCTGGAAAAAGGTAAGTTTTAACCCCTTTCCCCTTTCCAGAGCTGGGCGGAAGGGGGTCCCTGCACTATAGTGCCAGGAAAACGAGTATGTTTTCCTGGCACTATAGTGGTCCTTTAAGGACAATGTTCTATTTACATTTTGCATGAGCCAAATTGACAGTAAATGTATGGATCAAAAGATATTCTGTTTGGTAGAAAGTAGTCTGCATGTCTGTCCCCATGTTGCACTATGGAATAATGTGACTCTTTCTTTCTGTGTGAGGTTCTCACCTTCCCATGTAAAGCTTTTTGTAACCTTTTATTTTAGAACAGAATTTCCTTTTGATCTATTCATTCTCAATACGTGGTTAAACTACCTGGCTGACTCATTTACTTTTTATTTTTTATTTTTTTTGGTCTCTGTTATGGTAACTATAAGCTTTTTCTGCTCCAGCTTTTGTGACCAGAACCCCATCGGGAGACCTGGTCCAGCCGGACTGGCAAATGTTAGCCTACAGCATGTTGGTGTGGATGTTTGGCGTGCATGACGTAACTGCATGGAAGCCTAATCTCTGTGTTTAGTTCTTCATTTAATCTTTTCCAAACCTTCCCTTTTCTCTGTTTCAGAAGTGTCTGATTTAGGTGAGTTTTCTTTCTGTCTGTATTCAACTAAACCATTTCACCTGGAGAAACCCAGTGAAATCCACTAACCCATGCATGTCACACTTCAATTTGTGTTGGTGGGAAAGTGTCTCGAAGAATGTACAAAAAATTCCGTCATACCATGGATGGGAGGAATCAAAGCAGGAATCTAATAGATGGGGCATACCTGAAGCTTTCCTAATGGTCTCTTCTACAACTTCAGCAGAGACCACCTGATGAGCTTTGGTCCTTGTAACCCCTTGTGTACCAAATGGGTTAATCAATGCACAGCACTGAAATGGTTTAGTTTCTGTATCCGTATAGTTTTTATCCTCTTAAAAAAACAAAGCCACGTACCTCCCCTTGATTTTTATAACCAAATTTCATTCACTACATCCATGATGGCTTACCTGTGGACTACTGACTGGAAAACCTAGGCCATTCCATCTGGACTGCCAACCCTGGCCTCCACTCTAGTATATAATTGTGTATTGCCTAGAATCGGAGACGATCAGCTTTCTGCCTCGTGGCTTGCGAGGCCTGTGACAAACCGCTCTGGGTATTATTGGCTGTGAATTGGTTAAATGGTAAAATTCCCAATCACACCAACCTATAATTCTCCTGCTATTTTCCTTAACATGGAGATAATTACTACTTTAATTCCTTCCTGATGGATAATATCCAGGACTGTAATAATCCAAAGTGGTGATGGTTAACTTCGTCACCCCAAATGTTGGGTCATATCTAAGTTCTTATGTAAAGGTTACCCATCACAAATATAAAGGGATTTCCTGAAAGCAGTGTTTCCAAATTATTATTTTTAAAAAAATTCTATTTTATTTTTTGTCACACTGCTAAAAAAAAATTATTTTTTTGTGCCTTCAGCAGCAAATTTACATATTCAGTTTAGTTAACAGCCACACAGGAATCCCAATTTCAAGTGACACTTGTGATTTTATTTCTTATTTTTTTTTTTTTTTTTTATATATCCTGTGTCTGCATTCAGCCTATTACAGTGCTGAAGCCAGTGTGGTCGTGGCATGAGGCATACCAGTGAACCACAGGCCCAGCACACTGGTTGAAAACCACATGTCATGAAGGAGTTAATGTAGTCAATAAGTTTTGCATATCCTCCTGTTTGGTATAAGCATTGTAAGCCATACCGTCCTTTCTTCTCCTAAACGCTCTGTGTTTTGTGCAGCTGGCAAGCTGAGCATGGACGACCTTAATTCTCTCATTGCTCATGCACACCGGCGCATTGACCAGCTACACAAGCAGCTGGCAGAATACAGAGTCCGCGAACAGCAGCACATCGAGGCAGCCCTGGAGAATCAGAAGCTGGAGGATAAAAAAGCCCTGGAAACTGCAGTCACTAAGGCTCTAGAACACTACCGGTCTGAGATTCAACTGGAGCAAGACAAGAAGGTGAATAATACAGATCTACCGGTTCTTTTATTGGGGCTAAAAACCTAAATTAGGAAGCCCAATGCTTTGTTTAGGTTACATTTAGAGTTCTAAATTTAGATTTAGTTTAAGTATGTTTATCTAGTTGAAATAATTTTATTCCTTGGAATTAGACCAAACCAAAAAAATAGGACTGTAATCATTGATGGAGGGGATGGGAAGGGGATATACTGTTGTTGTTGGCTGGATGTGATATAAGGTGGGTATAAGTATTTGGTGATGTTGGATTACTGGAGGAAATGAGTGAATGTTATTTGGGAAGGGGGTATACGTTGACCCACGTCATTCATATTGCTTTATTTAAAAATCTAAAATTCTTAATCCCTAAAGATTGTGTCATTAATCTGTTGGTCACCTCTCTGGCACAGAAAGGAGCGATGCAGTTACTGCTGCTGGCTTATACAATGAGCTATTTTAATATGGTGAATTTATACATTCAGGGAGTAAGGCATTAACCGTCTAGGAATACCCATTAACTGTAATGATGATGTTGCAGGTTGAAGAGGTGCGGGATGTGATGGAAGCAGAGATGAGGACCCAGCTACGCAGACAGGCTGCTGCACACACTGACCATCTGAGAGACGTTCTCACAGTCCAAGAACAGGAGTTGAAAGCAGAGTTCAACCATGTAAGGCCTGTTGTGTGTATGACATTGATCTCCTGAGAGTAGACATCCCTCCTCCCCCAATAACCACGGTCAGTCTGGTTTCCAAGGAATTGTTGCTTCAACCATGTCTCCTCAAGCTTTTGTTAGAGCACAAAACCTGCCTCTATAAAATCTCGTGAGAGGACTGGCATTAATAGTATAGGCACCAAAACTACATAGTGGAGCAGCTTTGGTGTATAGACAATGCCCCTGCAACCTCCGTGTTCATTTCTCTCTATTATCTATTTTTCGGTCTTCCTAGTCCTAGTAAAGCTGTAAGAACTGCTGATGGTTCTTTGTTTTATTTAAGTTAAATCTGAAAACTTTTCACAAGATTGTATTGTGCGTGGGTTCTGGGAGATAACTGAATAGAAGAGCCGTCTCATTCTATTCTTCCTGGTAAAACATTCTATACAAATATTTAAAATGGGCCATTAAAAGGACTAAGTCAAGTCTTTAGGGGTTAAAAAAAGAATGTTCCCTTTTATGGCAAAGTATTACTTATTTTAATATATATATAATGAGCAGCCATTGTTCTAGAGAAGGTTAGGTTTAAACCGGCAAATATTACATTGCAACTTCTAAATACTTAAAAAAAATAAAAAAAAATTTATTCGAATTAAAGTACCTTAAACGGGTTGCAAAAACGTTTGTATTCAGTATGGCTTCTGAATGACAACACCTAAAAAAAAAAATTGTGTTTTTTGCAGTCACTATCTGAGAAGCTCTCAGAACAAGATATGCAGTTCAGACGTCTCTCCCAGGAGCAGTTAGATGCCTTCACATTGGATATTAACACAGCCTATGCACGTCTCAAAGGCATTGAACAGGCTGTGGAAGGTAAGGCTCTACATACCGCCATCAGCTGATTCTACTAAATCGCCACAACCTTGCACAGGCTAGAACATGTGTAAAGCAGGAGCTCTCAGTTAACCATAATGGAGCTAAGCTTTGGATTGGCTCAGTTAAACCGCATTGCTCGTGTTTCATATTTGTATGATTTTATTTTAATGTCTATCTGTATTGTTAAAATGAACTGGTTTAGTAGATTACCAAACAAAATTCTATATCGATTCACCGATTCAGCACAGTACTGGAGCACTGCAATTTTTGAATAATTTTTGCCTCTTAAAGCTGATCTGCCACTTTTCAGAATTTCAGAAAGATACAGTTGTAATCAAAATTATTCAACCCCCCATTGAAAATCAGGTTTATTTTCAAAATTTACAGACTTTCAGCTGTTTGTAATGAACAAGCAAAAGCTATTTAAATAGCTCAACACAACAAATGCTTCAAGTGGTTTCCCCAAATTCAACTATATGAATGTGCAACGTATGACTTCTCTAACCTCAAAATGAGTCAATGATTTTCAATTGGCGTCGACTCATTTTGATTACAACAGTATATCCTTTATGAAATCCTGATCAACACTGCGTTGGATTTTCATTAGAATTCCAATACAATCCAGATACTAAAAGACAAAGTAGGGACTATTGTGTCTAATCTGAAAACCTGAAGATGTCTAAGGTTTGCCATCACGTTTTGTCCAACCCTAGCAGCCATCCCAAATAACGGCTGTTTGATTCAGGCTCGGTCTATGGAGGATCCTGCGGTGTAATGGGGTCCTCCACAGACCTCCCTGTCATACTCACGCATGTACAAGAGTACAGCTGAAGCATCAGAAGCTGAATAGGACAGCAGCATGATCTGTTACATTTGGGGGTCTTTGCATAAATCCTAAAGAGCCCTAAAAACTGACAGATCTGCTTTAGTAGAAATAATAAATTTTCCTGAAAGTAAAGCAGATTTTTCTACATTGACCTGGGTGGCGAAATTATCTGGGCATTTTGCATTTATTTTCTTATTGGATATAAACACTAGATATGTTTTGCCTTCTTTAACCCCTTAAGGACCAAACTTCTGAAATAAAAGGGAATCATGACATGTCAAGTGTCCTTAAGGGGTTAAATCAAGATGCCAAGTTTATTCCAACTGCACAGCAAGTCCGATGATTAAAACCTGTCTGTATTCTTGCAGGACATGCAGCTGCTGAAGAAGAAGCTAGAAGAGCCCACCATTTGTGGTTGTCCATCGAAGCCCTAAAGTTTAGCCTGAAAACTGCCTCTGGTGACAGCCCAACTGAACCCCTGGAGAGTGCAGTTCAGGGAATTAAAGCTAGCTGCTCCAAAAATGAATTTACAGAGGCTCTGACTGCAGCCCTCCCAGAGGAGTCGCTACACCGCGGTGTGTACAGCGAAGAGGCGCTCAGAGCCCGTTTTTATGCCGTCCGTAACCTAGCCCGCAGGGTAGCCCTCATCGATGAAACCAGAAACAGTCTGTACCAATACTTTCTCTCCTACCTGCAATCCCTTCTTATATTTGAACCGAAACATCTGAAGCCCCCCAGCGAGCTGAGCTCTGAAGACCTAGATACATTCAAACTGCTTTCCTACGCCTCTTACTGCATTGAACATGGGGATCTGGAGCTGGCAGCAAAGTTTGTCAACCAGCTGAAAGGAGAGTCGAGAAGAGTGGCCCACGATTGGTTAACTGAAGCCCGAGTAACCTTGGAAACCAAACAGGTCATAGATATCTTGTCTGCCTATGCCAGCGCTGTGGGTCTAGGAACAACGCAAGTACAGTAACTTAGTGAGAAGGGAAATTTAAGTAAAGGTGCATCAGTGTTGAGAATTTCCTTTCCCACCGTACACAAAATAAATCTAATTTAAGTTATATTGTTTGGAGTCTGTAACCCAGTGAAATCACAATACAGTTTTGTTGCACTCCATAAACGTGTTCCAGGCAGAGATACTATATTTGTGATGGTCAGATTTTGACACGCCAGTTGTTGAGGATATTGGATTCTGTGTTTGTCAGCCTGTCAAATCCAGGCCAGATGAGTTGAGACTTTTACACATGCTTAAAAAAAACTATAGTTAAAACTAGCTTGTAATAACTGCCTAAACGTATTTCTAAAAGAAGACTAAAGGCTGGTGAATAATAATCCTCCATAGCTAGTGTGTGAAACGTTGACTGTCACTGCACTATATAGTTTAAACTCCTTTATCAATACTGCAACCTCCAGGAATGTCTCTCTACCCCCCATCCCCTTATAATCTCATATTTTTAAGTTTTCAGGTTTTACTGATCCCAGCTGATAAAAAGAAATCATTTGTTGTCCTAAATTCTACCCTGGATCACATGAATAAACAGAAATCATATCCTCTTGACTCCCGTTTTCCTATTTGCTGCTGCTGCTATATATTATCTGACCACAAGATATTTTGTATTGCATTCTAAGCTCTTATCGGAATCGTGAAAAAAAAAAAAAATAACTTGCCTATAATTTTACAGTAAAATATGAGCTTCAATGTAAGTTTGTGTCTGGAAAATCAAAATTCACAGCAGATCTCCTTTCCAGGCTTGGATGAGATCTTTAGCTGCTTCTTTTATAGAAATACAATATTTTAGGCATTGTAAATGCTAATACAAAGGGGCAGTCTTTGAGCACATCAGCATGTAGTGGTTACGGTGCAGTCTGAAGGCACGATCCCCTGTTTCTGGATCACATGATTTTCGAGAGGTTTGATGAAAACTGGGGGTCTCTGAGTCACACTCATCCAAACTCTGCTTGCTGTATTACTATTCTACGAGTTTAACTTGTTTTTAATATAAATTTCTAACATATTTGGATGCAATTGATGCAAGGCTGCACACATTCGTGGATGAGGAACATCTGCATTAGTAGTAGGTAAGCAGGGAGCTTCCTAGAACAGTTTGGCTCAGAACCGAGGGGCAGTTCTCTCAGCCCAATAGTTCGGTTCCCAGTTAAGTTCTACTTTAAATCTTGTGCACTTTTATACCCATGTCAATCCTTTTCTGTTTTTAGTAAGGATTCTAGTTGCTTATGGTCTTTCTGTATTTTCAGTGAGAGAGGCACAGGTTTTGCTTCTAATAAAATACACCACTTTTTTTTTTTTTGGGGGGGCAAGGAGGGGATCATGGTTTGGATAGATAATGTTAGATTTCATGCATACAATAATTCCTGTAGCTCTTATAGTGTACGTTTATCAAACCTAACAGTTAAACTGTCATGATGGGCACGAACGTTGATTTATTTATTACTATTGGCATATATCTAGGGGCAGTGCTTTAGGGTTTGATCTGAATTTATAGAACTTGTATGTTTGGTCACTTGCTGATGTTACAACCATCTGCAACCTCACCGTAAGTATTTCCCTGGGGCCCTTATGGCAGCCTCACACAGTGTTAAATATTTCACTTCTAAGACTGGCTGGCTGGTAGCAAGCTAAACTTAAAATATGTCCATATAAATTCTTCCTGTCTTCCCCCATTTGTTTTTGTATTTGACAATCATTGACAGGCGAGCTGCAACAAGGTCTCAATGTGAGCTGTAGGCAGTGAAGGAGAGAAGGTTGGGATGACCTCATGCTATGGTTGCTAGGTACACAAAAAAAAAAACAAGCCAGCTGGATTGGGCAAAATATGCATTTCGGTGAGAAACAGAATGAAAAGTATTTCAGCAGCCACAGTCCCCAGCTGTCTGTCTATATTGAGGTGACTGTATATGCACACTGGTGGGTTTATTCTTTTAATGTGGTTAAGCTCAACACCTTTAACCCCTTAAGGACCAAACTTCTGGAATAAAAGGGAATCATGACATGTCACACGTCATGTGTCCTTAAGGAGTTAAGCCTCATTGACTTTTTCCAGCCTAAAAAAATAACCTTTTATTTGTCCAGCAGTGAAAAGGGAAAAATTTGGCAAAACAAAGCAAGCCATTATTGTAGGTGTGTGTGAGCAAGACTATAAAAATATACCTAATCTGTTAATTTTGTGGGCCTTCCTCTGGCTTACTGGATGCCGTTGACCATTTTTAAATGCTGCCTACAGTCAACTGACAAGAGGGTCTTACTTCAGCTCCTCCTCACCAAGAATTGTAGGGAGATCTTGAATCCTCTCCAAAACTAACAGGTTCATGGCCAGAAAATAAAGCATTGCTTTGTATTGATTCAGAGACCACAACAATGAGGAAGATTTAAGAGTGTTCAATATGACATGACATTTAATTACCAATCTAAGCAGTAAAGGTTACGATGGTCTTAGATCAAGGAGTAAAAGTGCAGGAAAGCTTATTATTGCTAGTGAGAGAACACATTAATGTCCAGTGCTAATAAAATAAATGGATGCCTCCAGAAAGTGCCTCTGCTTTCAAAAACTGTCCAGTTTTTCCAATGGAAAGAGGGAGAAGTTCTTAGCAAGTCCCTAAAGTGGATGTTTTGGAGAAGGAATTCCATTATCTGATGTAAAGGATGCTTATTGCACTTGGAATGTATGACTCATTTCAGAAGTATAGAGGATGCTTGTTCTCATCTCTAGATCCACAAAAAGGTGGAGATTCAAAGCTGATGGTCCTGTTGTGGTTAAGGCCCTGTGCACTATAAATCCAACTAAATACCCCTATCAAGCATATGTACGGTAGTTATTACAAGCACAAATAGAAATGATACCAACCATATACAGCCCAATACCTGGAGAGTTGGAAAAAGAAGGGATCTCTGCTACAAGCAAGTAACATACTCAAAAACCCCTAAAATAAGAAACCATAACCTGTCTTAAAACAAATCCTGGCCAACCATGGAAGCATCACTAATAGGTCAACTCCACCACTCTGCTTTACAGACAGGAAGTAATCAATTGATATACACACACCTCTATTGACTGTCTTGTGCACGTAAAAACCTGCCTTCTGGAAGGCAATGAACACCCAAACAAGAGAAATTATTTAGCAAAATAGAAGAAATTCCAGGTGGGGTGGGATGCAACACGGAGCAGTGGTTATTACCCAGCTCAGGGATAGGGCTCTGGTGGGCCTGGGCCATTGTGGACCCATAATTTCTAACTTTATGCTCCGTTTACATGCTACTCAAACTTGCATACTTCCACATGTGACATTACCAAAGGTTGATGTTTTTTTTTAATTTTTTTTTAATTCAAGGTTTTTATTGGGGACATATAATAAGCATTAAAGATCGATACAATTGTATACATAGCAGGTCATATAGCATCGCTGGGCAAGCCAGTAAAGTATACAGTTTTTGTTGCAGACTACGGTTGTACATAGTATGCATTGTAGGTCGTACAGTATGTATTTTCAGCTACATAGTGCATTTCCTTAGTGCAGGTAACCTGCAGGGTGGGGTAGGTAATAAGAGGCAGCCACTTGTCGTATCTTCAGCGGCTTCTGTGTTGTTGGCGGTGTGTTGGTCAAGTTATATGTCTTGGCAAGCCGAGCACAGTGTTCTGTGGAGGGGGTTTGTGGACAGCAGGGAGACCTTTTAGGGTTCCCTTTTAGGTAGGTCTGTTTGAGGTCCGTTGGTAGGGGGCAGTTGTCGGTAGGTAGGTACGTTTTGAGGTCGACGGGTCCGTCAGTTTCGTCCTGTGTGTGTGGTTGTCACGGGTGTCTCTTCAGTGATAGTCGCTTTCCTCTGGTGTCCTTGGGTTTTGATCGTTTGGGTGTTGCGGGTCGGTGTGTTCTCCCGTGGGGGTGTGTCCTGTGTGTCTGGTGTCTGTCTACGCCAGTTTTGTGCTCCGGTTAGTGTCAGGGGTGTCTCGATCGGGTAGATAATGCTCCGGGATCATGAGGGTTGGGCGGTGTCTGATATTGTGGTATAGTGGTCTTGGGTATTGGGCGTCTGGGCAGTCCTGTTGGTGCGATTCATCTCATGTCCGGTGTTTATAGGCCGTGGGGGGTCTTTCGTGAGTGCTGTGTAGTCGGTCTTGCAAGTGAGGGGGGGGGGTCTCTACTTGGGTAGGTTGTGTCACTGGGCTAATGTGTCGGTGGTGGGTCATGTGTTTTGGGGTTTGTTGGGGGAAGGTGGGGCGGGAGATGGGTTAGTGGGAATAAGGATATTGCAGGTGGGGGGAGGGTGTGGAAGGTCAGCGGGGGGAGGGGGCGTCCGGTCCTGGGTCCGATTGCAGGTTTGCGTCTCTTATGGTTGTGAGTATCTTGTGGACCTGTGTCCAGAAGGGCTGGATAAGGGGGCAGGACCACCATATGTGGAAGAGAGATCTCAGTTCCCTCCCGCATCTCCAGCATTCTGGTTCGTTTGTGGCTTTTATCGTGGTTAGTTTTTCCGGTGTCCTGTACCAGTGCGAGAGCATTTTATATCCGGGTTCCTTGAATTTGGTGGAAATGGAGGCTTTGTGTGTGAGTGTGAACACCGTTGTCCATTGTTCCGCCGAGAGTGCGTGTCCTAGATCCCTTTCCCAGTACTTGGTTAAGTGTGGGGGTGGTGGTTTGCATGCGGTATAGAATCAAAATTGCCTGTGGGGGCGATGGGGAGTTTGTGCAGATGGTCTCAAACGCGGAGAGCGTTCGCGATGCCGAGTCTAGGGTCGGTATGCTTCTCAGGAACCTCGTCAGTTGATGGTATCTGACGCGTAGTAGCATAGTGTGTGGTATTTGGGACCAGGGTTTCCAGGGGTGCAATTGTGCCTCGGTTGTAGACGTCCTTCGATCTGCAGGGGGTCGGTAGGCCCAGGGCAGCCGTGTAGCGGGGGACTGGTGCTGGGGTAAATTTCGGGTTGTGTGATATGGGTCATAGTGGTGAGAGCTCCGGGGCTGTGTCTGTGTGAGTCACCAGGCTCCTCCAGACAGCCATTGTAGCATTTAGGGTTGGGTGTTTTCTTGGTAGTTCCCCGGCCATGGTTTTCGGCAACCAGGGGAGCAGTGTCAGGGGTATCTGTAAGAAGCTTGCCTCTATGGCAATCCATAGTTTGTCTTTCAGGTTGTGTGTCCATTCGATCTATCGCTGGAGGTGTACAGCATGTCTGTATTTTGTCATATAGGGTAGTCCCAGGCCTCCTCGTTGTTTGGGTCTGGTGAGGGTGGCGAAGTTTAGTCTCGCCTTTTTGCGGGCCCAGACGTAGTCAGTCAGTGTTTTACGGGTTTGTGACAGGTTTTGGGGATGTGAATTGGTAGGGTTTGTAGGAGGTACAGGATTTGCGGGAGTATAATCATTTTGAGGACACTGATCCTCCCTAGCGCCGTAATGTGCGGAAGCTGCCACGAGTCGAGGTCCTTCTGTATCCGTTCGTGGAGGGGTGGGACGTTGATGCGGTAGATGTTCGACAGGTCAGCCGACAACCAGATCCCTAAGTATTTGATCATTTCTTTGCACCAGTGGAAGGGGAACTCTGTTTGCAGCACCGTTGCCAGTGCTAGGGGGCAGTTTACAGTAGGGGCTGGA